CTACTATAGGGAGGTTCTAGAATTGCCCAATGTTCAACTATTGAACATTGTCACCTTTAGTCCCTGCAGTTTTAATTAATTCCTTTAATCCTAAAATTAAATCCAAATTAATTTCTGATTAAAATATTAATTAAACAATATGATCTCTAATTAATATATTATCTCCATAATACATTAATAAATCATTTATTTTGATTTCTAATTAATTTATTAACCAAGTAATAAATTAATAAATCATTCTTCTCTCTCTAACAGTTATCCTATTCAATTGTCAGGTTTGAGGGCAACCCAAAAGGACTGTGCTACTATCAATTTAAGTTTATACCAATTATAGTTATGGGCTTAGACACCTAATCCAACAATTTCGGGCAGCCCATGGCCCGACTTGATCGTACTATATCCCTTGGAGGCTTATTCCGCATTGATTATTACGATTTTACTATGACTGGTTTTTGAACAAATGTTTATGTGATCTGGGTGTTTTAAAAATAAAATTTTTACTTGGTATTTTTAGGACGTAATAGGCATACTGTAAAACATGTCTGAAGATTTTTTTTACGTGTGCAAACTCAACTTCTATCCATCCTTCATTTGATTTTTCATCATCTGATAATGTTTTCTCACTCACTCTTCCAAACTCATATAAATTTTGTTCTTCCACCTCATTTACTGCCACAATTTCTTCTCCCGAACAATCTTCAAATTTATATGATACAATGTTGTCAACATTATCTGATACAAAGTTGTCTTCCACTAGTGCCTCTTCAACCCATCCCTCATCCACCTCCAAATACAAATGCACTATCTTTTTCGTTTCAGACATTACATTTCCGAGTTGAGTAATATCTGCTTCGTCTGTAATGTTGATGACATACCCACGATCCGGGTGTTGAAAAGACAACGATATATTACTATTGAATGTATGTGCCTTATTTTTAACCAAATCAAACAATATCTGGCAGTCAAAATTAGGCGGAAGTAATAAATCTAAGTTGTTATACTTTGCCCTAACATATATGTTAATGCCATTAATTAACTGTCAAAATCTCCCAATACATAAAATAATGAAACTCATATTTTTCTGAAAAACTAGAAAATTTTTCTTCCTTATACTCATATTTTCGTTTTTATTTTTTAAAAAATAAGAAAATTGTTTTATATGACATAAAAAAAGCATCATAAATGCTTGTCACCAACTCCACCTACCAATTTTGCGAAGGTTTCATGTCATTCCGTGGAGCCCGCAGACCTGAAACTACCCATTCCGCGGAGGAATAAATTGTGAATCAATCGTTTCTTTTGTCATTCCGCAGAGCCCGCAAAGGGAGCTCTACGAAACTGTTCTTCATACATTATCCTCTGTGGAATTCTTCTTCATATTTTTTTTTATGGCCATGTCGATTCCTCAGAACTTTAGTGAATTTTGCGGAGCTCGTGGAGCTCACATCTACAGAAAGCGTGTCTATATATAGAAATGGTTGATTTTATGTCTATTTTTTGGAATTCAACCTCAAAAATGTCTATATCCGGCAAAATCTCATATATTTAGGATTGTTTGATATGTATATTATTGAGTCTCATAAAAGGTTGGGTCTAACTCAGCCAGATTTAGACTGTTTGATACCTAAATTAGAACCTTCTGACTCAATGGCGGAGACAGGACAAAACCTCAAGGGTAACATATGTGATTTTAGGGTAACATATCGGAAATTTGAAACTACGTGGAATAAACTTTCAAAAAACAAAAAAAAAAGATGATAGTCTAGGCTACCGCAAGCACCCAAGTAGATCTGTTAGTGTTTTGACTTGATTCAACAGTTCTGACTCATCTAACATGTCTGTTATTCGGTCAGATTGAAAGTTGTTTCAACTCAATCAACATTTTATTTAAAATATTTTAAATGTTCAATAAATTATCAAACTATTCACATATTGCGGTTTTCATGGAATTAGAATTCATATACAAACAAACGTGAAATAAGTGCAAGTTGGGAAATCAAAAAAGGGGTCACAAATCGTTGTTCCATTAACTTCTCCAAGACTAAAAAGGATGTCGTGGGCCTAATCAGCTAATCTTTCCAAAAATACACCCACGTCATCAAACGATGATGGAGGAAGGGTAATTTTGTCTTAAAAGTTATCTAAAAATTGTTTGTCTTCATCTTAATGAAGGGTATTTTTTTAAAGATATCAAGTTGAAAGGAGTTGGACATTTGTTTTAATCAATCTATTTAATGAGTTGATTTTAGTTGCATTTTATTTGACATACATCAAGTTGGTAAATTCTAAAAATTAAGATATAAAAATTATCGAATGCTAAAAGACTTTCAACTGATGGGTTTTGGCACAGATTTTGCATAGACTTGTCGAGAAGATCAGTTTTATTCTCTTTATGTACCCGCTTTTGTCCTACTTTTCTATGAAGGACCTTGGCCGTCTAAGATACTTCATCTACATTTAGGTTTTCCCTCCTTCTTAAGACTTTTTTCTCTCCTAAAGAAAATATGTACTGTTATAGACATGTCAACATGCACACCCACACCCACTCCCACTCATATTGATATAACGAAAACTCTTACGACTACTAAACCTTTATATGACAATCCAATTATCGTATCAGAGGGGGCACTTTAATATTTAACCATCACTCGCCCAAACATTTCTTATGATTTCCAACAAATTTATTTGCACATGCATGCACCTCAAGATGTGAACATAATGGATCTCAAACACATCCATTAGTATATTCGTGGTACTATCAATTTCGGCATCTAATATTATTTTCAAATCACAATCATCCTGCCTTACAACTTTCACTAATGTTGACGAAGTTGAATGCCTAAATACTAGTTGTTCGCCTTCTGGTTATTGTGTCTTTTTCGAAAACAAGCTCATGTCAAGGTTTTCTAAATGGCAAACCACGATTTCCCACCCAAGTGTAGAGGCCGAGTACCGATGTGTTCTTAGTGTTTTCTCCAAAATATGGTGGATTCGCAACTTTCTTATTCAGCTTTCTCTCCTTCTAACAAAATCCACAACTCTCTGTTGTGACAATGGCAATAACATTTACCATCTAGACACCTCATATTTGAATATCAACTCACCAAACAATTGAAAACGATATCCATTTTAGTAAAAGAAAGGTGACCAAACAATCTATTTAATGTGTCCTGTCTCGATATTAAATTGCCGACATTTTACTAAAGGGATTCCAAAGATTCTATTTGAAGATTTTTGCAATAGACTGAATGTTCGTTATCCTCTCGCTCATACTGTGAGTGAATATTGACATTATTATATTAGGTATCTTATATTATATTATATACATTATGGAATATTCCATTTTACTAATATTTGTAATAATGTAGCATTCTTAATTAGGAATTGGTGTATAATTTGTCTTGTAATGTTATAGCATGAAAAATGAATAAACCTTTCAAGACGAATAATAATCTTTTGATGCTTAAGTACCCAAATCGATTGAATCTTGAATAATCAAAAAGCGTTTATGAATGCATTTTAATACAAAAGTATAATGATATAATCATTACTTGTACGTCAAAAAAAAAAGTTTGCTTATAAAAGCACACTTGAGAAATATAGTAGACCATAATCAACGTATTTGTATTACTTTATTTGGATAAATATAACTATGGCTTATTTTTGTATAATATTATCATACTTCCATTTACTTGTAATACAACATTCTACTTTTAAAGTTATCATATTTTGATAAAATATATCAAATTACAATAATTTATCTTAAAAGATGCTTATTATAATGATGGTCGACCTATTTATTATGAAGACCCTGTGTAAAAAATATAAAAATGGGCCCTTAAATATTTTTTATGTAAACAAAATTCTTTAATGCTACACGAAGTTGATAATTATTATGAAAACAATCAAAACAAAAGAACAATAATAAAATAGATAATCGTAGATAGCCACATGAATCATGAGACTCTTTTAGCATCTTAGCATTCGATTAAGTGAGTGAATTAAAAGAATTTTGGTCAATTAAAAAATATGTTATGTAGAAGTGAGAGATAAAGCCGATTAATAAAATTAAGATAAATGGTTATTGGTTAATTAGAAAAACCGATAATGCAAAGTGGGGAATAAAACGGATTAATGGTTATAGGTTAATTAGTGAAGTGTTATACATCAATGAAAAACGGATTAATAAAAAAACAAAGAAGTATTAGGAGTCGAACCCATGTCAATTAAAGGGGAGAATAAAAACGCACCTCACTATGCCAACTGAGTTTAAGGTCACAATTTTACATTTTTTTGTAAAATTATATATATTAACACCATAATTTGCCTAAAACTCGGACACTATTTTTTTTGGGCCCTGTGTGGTGGAGACCTTAAACCCCAAGCCCTTAGGGTCGGGCCTAATTATAATATGATACTTTTAAAATATACGTAGTTATACTATAATTTCAAAAATCAAGACGCCAGTTCCCTCAATTGTGGGCCGAACCTTAAGAAGTCGATTTTGGCCCAATATAAAACATTTTTCAATTTATAGGCCGAATGCTATGCGGCTATGCCCTGTATTTTTAATCCATAGTTTAAACTTTAAAGAGGTCTAAATATGCGGTTAACTGACTTGGTCCAGACTCAACTCGGATCCCAAAAAAGGATAATGACTTAAAAGGGTAACATATTATTGGTTTTGTACACATTTAGTCCCTGACTTTTTTTTTGTCCACATTTTACCCTTGAACTTGTTGTTGTGTATAGATTAAGTCCTTATTACCGGTTGATGTCGGTTAAGCCGGTCATTTTGTGTTTTACGGGAGTTTAAGAAAAATGAATTTAGTTACGTGGCAATTACGTGGCAATTACCCTCTTTCACCCTCATTTATGAAAAAACCTCATTTACAAACGAAGATCAGTTAGGGTTCTAGTGTCTTTATTCTCACAGTCCGTTCTTACTCAGTGCCTCATTTACTCACCCTTCTCTGCTCTCAAAACACCCTTCTGATTCAATGGAGGAAAATCAAGCTTTTCCAAAAGTCGATTTACACTATAATGGTACTTTTGTGCCTAATCCATTAGTGTATTTTGCTCCAGAAGTACTACGATTGAATGAAGATGCAAACGAGTTTGTTTTCTCCGATTTCATCAAATATGTTGAGAAGCTTATCGATTTTCAGTGCAAGCATGTGTATTACTGTATACCTGAAGTGAGATTGAGTGAGGGGATCCAAACACTACAAAATGAATGTGACTACTCTCAGTTTCTTGAGGTTGCAAATGCTAACAGACATGTGGATGTGTATATTGACCATGATAATGAACCTATATTTGAGTGGATTCAGAAAGAAGAACCAGACGATGAAGAACTTGTGTATTCAGAAGAAGATGTCGACTCTGTTTTTGGAAGATGATGAGAACTGTGAACATGAAGAGGATGAATCTGTTACATCAAGCAAAAGAATCTTCAAAAAAGCCTATAATGATAAGTTTTTGAACAAGTTATGTCCAGTAGTTGTTGCAGATGAAGATGAAGAAGGCAATGAACTTCCAGCTGTCTACCCTAGGCATGATGCTACTCAGGAATGGAGGAAGATGAAGCCTGAACTAGGTATGAGATTCTCTTCTCCTGCTGAACTTAAGTCATCTCTCAGTAACTATGCAGTTGCACATGGATATGACTTGTATTATGAGAAGAATGACAAGGATAGGTTGCTTGTAAAGTGTTGTAAAGGAAAAAGACCACAATGCCCTTTTAGACTGTGGGCTTCCTGGATGAAAGATGAGCAAACATTTCAAATAAAGTCCCTCATAGAAGACCATAGTTGCTCAAGGGCATTCAAACTTGGGTCAATTGTTACCTACAAGTGGATAGGGAAACAGTTTGTCACTGACATTTTGGAGTCCCCTAAAATGAGTCTAAGGAAGATGAAAGTTATGGTATCCAAGTTATTCAACATAAATGTTAGTGTTGGACAATGTAGGAATGCAAAAAGATTTGCATTGTGTGAAATTGAGGGTGATTTGAAGGATCATTATTCCAAGCTATGGGATTATGGAGCTGAGATTAAAAGGCCAACCCAGGATCTCATGTTGAAGTGTATGTGCAGCCCCAAAGTAATTCTACTGTGGTGTTTGAAAGGTTTTATGTGAGTTTTAAAGGAGTGGTTGATGGCTGGTTAGATGGGTGTAGGAAGGTTATTGGGATAGATGGATGTTTTCTGAAGGGCATATGTAAAGGTGAGCTCCTCTCAGCAGTAGGCAGGGATGGCAACAATAACATATACCCAATAGCCTGGGCAGTAGTAAATGTTGAGAACAAGAGTACATGGAAGTGGTTCTTGGACAATCTAATGGAAGACATAGATGAAGGGGGAAATGGTAATGGAATCACATTGATGTCAGATGGACACAAGGTACATATATACACAAATTATCTTTTACAAAAATTGCCTTTTACACAAACTAACATTCCAAATCAATGCAGGGTATAATGGAGGCTGTGAAAGAAAGATGTCCAGAAGTTGAGCATAGGTTGTGTGCTAGGCACATCCTTGCTAACTTCCATAAAAAGTTTTACGGGTGAGTGCTACATTAAACCTTATTGGAGGGCTGTAAAGGCAACTACAATTCAAAAAATTTGAACTTGCAATGGAAGAGATCAAGAGCTTTGATGTAGGGGCATATGATTATCTCATTAAAAGGGACCCCAGCTGTTGGTCAAGGGCTTTTTTTAAGGTGGGAATGGGATGTGATGCAATGGAAAATGGTGTTTCTGAGAGCTTCAATGCTGCTATTGAAGAAGCTAGAAAGAAGCCATTGATCACTATGTTGGAGGACATAAGGGTATTTGTGATGGAGAGATTGTACATGCAGAAAGAGAAAGGATTGGGCTGGAATTTAGCAATCTGTCCAAATATCAGAAGGAAGCTTGGTGAATTAAAGAAGTTGAGAAGGTTAGTTGTTACAAACACTTTTACTTACTTTTTGTACATGCAATTTATAACTAACTCTTTGTATTGACAGATTCTGGGCACCATATGTTAGTGGATACAAACAGTTTGAAGTTGTGCAATGTAATGAAAGGTATGGTGTTGACTTGGAGAAGAGAGAATGTGGATGCAGAGGTTGGCAATTGATAGGAATTCCTTGTGTACATGTCATATGTGCCATATCTTCTTTGAATCTTGATTCAGAGGAATATGTTGCAGAGTGGTTTACTAAATCTGCATTTCTTAGGGCCTATGAGTACACCATACATCCCCTGAATGATAGTTCCTTGTGGCCCCGCATGCCTGATGTTCACCAGATACTACCTCCAATTAGGAGGAGGTTACCTGGTAGGCCATGTGTGAAAAGAAAAAGAGACCAAGTAGAAAATGAACTCAGTGGGAATACAAGGCATACTATAAGCAGGGCAGGTGTTCAACACAGATGCACAATTTGTAATGAAACTGGACACAACAAAGCTACATGTCCAATGAGGGGTCCTTTTAAAGCAGGTTCAAGTAAAGCAAGAAAGAAGAGTAATGCAAAAAATTGTCCTTCACAAGCAGGTCCAAGCACTCTAGCTCCAAGTGCTCCAACACATGTCAATCAAGATCCTTTGACTCAAGAGCATGTCCCTGTGAATCAAGAGCTTGTCATTCAAGAGAATGTCCCTGTGAATCAAGAGCATGTGAATGAAGATCATGTGAATCAAGTTCCTGTGAATGAAGTACCTATCAACCAATATCCTGTGAATCCAATACCTGTTAACCAAGTGCCTGTGAACTGTTAGAGTGCCTAAGAGCCTTGGTGTTAGAGCAAGGAAGCCTTCAGAGAGAATCAACAAGATACAAATCAGGAAGCAGGTTTTTCGAAAGGATGGCAAAGGAGTGACTGAGGACAACCCAGTTACTTTAGAGTGATTAGGGTTACTTGTTTTCTTTTGCTTTGGAAGTATGTAATAGTACACTATGTATGGTGAATTTTTTTTGTTAATTGGCCCAACTTTTGATGTAATTGACAATACTACCCTTGCTTGTAACCTGTCAACTTTTGATGGCCTTTAAGTAATGGAATCGGATATGGTATCCTATGTCAATTGTGTTTTGTCTTTTTCAATCTTTATTGGTATTAATGCATTAGTTTATTAAGAAGGTTATAATGGGAATCATATGTCAATTGTCTACTGGGAATCATATTTGTTTCTATCAATGTCCTTGTCTTTTGGTTGTTGAAATTGCAGACAAATTCAATTATCATTGTCCTTGTCTTTTGGTTGTTGAAATTGCAGCCAAATTCAATGTAAATTACAATCAAATGTGTACCATGTAACACTTCATTCAATATGCAAACTCCATTCAATAGAAACATAATTCAATACATTATACCAAACTCTATTCAACTGTTTTCAGATAATATTACAACTGATTTCTACCCTATAACTATGTGCTTTATTCTTCAGCTCTTGAACTTCTTTCTTCAAACATGCAACATCCTCTTTAACTGCTTCAAGTTCTTGTTCTAAATCCGGATTCCCAGTCACAGGTTCATCAATCCATTCCCAATACTTACACTTCTTACCTGGTTTCTTCGAAATGAAATATAAAGATGGTAAGAAGCTCAAAATCTTTATTTATTAGAAGGAAAATCAAAAGTACAGAGGGAAATCAAGATCGACATACCAGAGAATTGGGGCAAACTTTGAACTTTTTGTTAGGGTTGTCTTTAGTCTTGGATGTGCATATTCGAACTGGGAGTCGATAATCACAAAGCTCCTCTTTCTTTGCGATGGATCCAGATGAACTGGGAGTCGACATCTTCTTCTTCGATTTTGGCTATGGGTTCAAAATGTTTTTTGAGTCAAGTTAGGGCTACACATCGTATTATAATCAATGGAACTCAGAGATGATCCACGTAGGAGTATTTACTTTTAATGAGTGTCCACATAGGCAGCCATGTCAGCAAATATGGCATCAACCGGTAATACGGACTTAATCTATACACAACAACAAGTTCAAGGGTAAAATGTGGACAAAAAAAAAGTCAGGGACTAAATGTGTACAAAACCAATAATATGTTACCCTTTTAAGTCATTATCCCCCCAAAAAATGATTATTAAAGGCCCCAAACCAGCCCTTTATGGCTTTAGTCCATTTATATTCTTTTAGTAATTTTTCTTTATGAAAGATGATGTGTTTTAGAAAAAATAATATCTAGTATAATACGAATATTATATAACAAAGATGGATTTAATAGAAAATATTGTATTTTTAGATTATTCTTTTTTTAAGGTTTCACAAGTTTTTATATCTTTGGGAGAATATTAAGTTTTGTAACTTTTTTGAATTTTATGATAAAAATATGTATTTGATTGGAGTAAAGTTTTCTTGATATTTTTATTTATTAAAATACTTATTAAAAACTTACCATTTAAAAAATATTGGTTCTATAACTGTAAAATGGTTATGAACGTTTGTTATACTCGTTTAAATATTTTTGGGACATTTGGTTAAAAGTTTCTAGGTTGGGGCCGGAAAGCCCATAACTACATGTCATATTCTTATTTTTTTCCACATGTAATTTTATGGTTATTTTAAATCAATTTTTATTCCACATGTCATTTTATGGTTTTTCTATTTTATTAAATTTCATATATTATTTAAATTTAATAATAAATGCATATCAATTTTTTTAATGAACTTTCCTTCTAATTTCAAAATTACCAAATTAAAGTTTCATTAATTTCCTTTATTTATTTATCTAAATCATTTGTTTAAATTTAAAAGAGAAAAAAAACACTTTAATTTTTATAATTCAATATTGTTCTCACTTTTCTTATAAATCCAAACTTCTCAAATATTTTGAATTTTATATTTAAAATTTCTTTTAAATAAGCTCATGTAATACATGAGTCTCACACCTAGTATAGAATAAATGTTTGTCCTAAAATAAAAACACTAAAGCTCGAAGTATGATTTATGCGGAAAAGGGAAAAAAGTGAAAAAAAAATCATTGCCTTTGGTTAAATTCTATTAAAATACATTGTAATTTAGATTATTTTTTTCGGATTATTAATATTTTTTTATTCAACCACTAATTATGATTTATTTTAAACCGTTATATAACACTTTGGTGTTTGTAAAAGGGTTATTGTCACCGTAGTTCAAGCATCTTTCGTATATTAGTTTAAATGGTCCTTCGTGACTATTTTTTGCTTTTAGAGGGCTTATACTTGCAAATGACCGGTCAATACAGTACTTTAACCCACAACTGAAGGTAAAACAACTGTTTGACTTGCCAACTAAGCGGGTGACTCAGCATCGACTTATGGACTAGTGTACTCGTCTTCCACCTAAGCCTCCAGCTAACCTAGTTTAATGCTTTCATTAGTTGGTACCAACCCACCAACCACCCTTAGAGCACAAGGAAGCGTCGGTGGTGGGGGCATAAAGCAGCGTCACAAATCGTTGGGGCTTAACCAAGCACAAATCGAGACCTTTTTACCCTAATAAGCCAAACACGATTCCGACCAACACCCTAAAATATGGCAATGTCGGCTCCACCACCTCCTTCACCTGACTCGATAAATTCACGAGAGTTTCTCAACCTCAACGACATGCATTCCATTTTTTGCGACTGTGGAGACAAGATTGCTGCCAACCAGATCGAGATGCAGACGCTCAAAGATCAGTTGGGTAAATATTTCATTGTGTGCCTTGTTGATCACATCGGTCTCCATCACAAGTTGGAAGATCACGACAGGAAGTTAAAAGCGATTGTTGTGGTGATGGGCGACATCATGGTGGCAATGCATGGGATGATGATGGTTGGGATCAAAGTCCTTATGAAGCGTGGATAAGTTGTTTTGGGTACATTACGATGCATATATAATATAGATATATTAGTTATAGATTTTCTGTTCTTAGTTTTATTTTTATTTTTTTGTGTTTGGTATCTAAGGATTATGTGAAAAGACCTGTGTTGATGACAGACATTTTGTTCGTTTGTTAAGGTTTTTAATGGAAAAGGACCTGAGTTGGTCTTAGGCGTTTTGTATCTAATGTTTGACCATTTGAGTTCGGTTGAAATATCATGCAATAACGAAGAACATAACATATGTTGGGTTGTTGTACCCCACGTGTGTTGCACGGTGAGGGTAGTTTTGTCATTTGGTGTTTATAACGGCTGTAAAAAGGGGTGTCTCATTCAAAAGGGTGCCTCTTTCATTTTTTTCTTCTCTTTTTCAAAGCAACTATGGAGTGAGATCCAAAAAAATTCGACAACATGAAGATTGTTTGTGGGTGTGGAAGTCCGACAATAATTCACACATCTCAGACTATCAATAACCCTGGTAGACCATTTTATGCATGTCCAAACCAGGTAAATGTAGTCATATGTTTAGAACCCTAGTTTCATGATTGTTTTTTTAATGTAACCTTAATTTTTTTTAGGGAGCACGACGAGGTTTCATTTCTTGGGTTGATGAAATAAAATGAAACAATGAAGAAATAATTTTAAGTGTACTGATGAGGTCGAAGAAAAACCTAGAATCAGAAGTGTTGAAGTTGAAGCTGATTTTACTTTGTAGTTAGGTTTTTTTGGGTTTAATCATTTATAAGTTGTAATCAAATGTTCTTGGGTAGTTGAATTAAGAACACTTTGTAGTTATGTGATGTGACCTTGATGTATTGTTGTGTTGCCATTATCCTTAATTACGTATAGGGATGCTTATTAACCATAATCTAGTGAAATTATGCCAACTGTTATGTCATTACGTATAGTACGTCGCTAAGAAGCATCTTTCGTATATTGGCCAGGGCCCTTAAATGCTATGAGGTGTTGTATATGTATAAGTATACTTGTATCTATTTCAAGCATATGTTCTTCACTGTGATATAACATTTGTCACTAAAATTAAAAAAATATATTTCAAAGTTACCATATAGGCTTGGACACTTTGTAACTATTGAGCCTTTAGTAGATAAAATAGGAAATTGTAGTTGCTTTTCCCATCATGCCAACAACCTAATAAAAATGTTAACACTTTTTTGTCCATTAACATCACAAGGACCACATGTTCTTAAATGATGTAATTCACTGTCAGTACCATTCCCCTTTTTTTAACAATAATTGTATATTTTGTCCGGAAAGCACACAAGGATCACATGACAAAAAATGGGAATTGCATGCATGCAAGGTGAAAACTATTAGGGATCCCAAACTCTTAATATATAAGGACAACCAAAGCATGATAATATTACAAACCATTGTCAAAGCAAACATACTAATGTCAAACAAACAAGTAAATGTCAAAGCAAACAAGTACAACTTAATGTCAAACCATTGTCAAACATAACCATAGGAAAACATCAAATTCTCCCTACTCAATAATGTCTACCGGGTTTGCACTAGTTTCACCTTTCCCATCCTTGGTCTTAACCTTCTTTGCAAGTTTCATTTTTATGATCCTCTCAGATTTTTTTCTTTTACCACCAATTTTTGGTCCACTACTTCCTTCATCAACTCTAGTTGGTCCACAACTTCCTTCACCATCTTTACCCTTGTCAATTTTTTTCCTTTTCATGACCTTTAGTTTTGTGGGCCTTTTCACCCTTGACCTTTCTACCTGTGGCCTTTCAAATTTAGGACAAGTAACCTTGTTATTCCCTGCTTGTTTACACACACTACACAATATTATTTTCCCTGCCCTAGACACAGTGTGCCTCAGAATCTTTTCTGACTCATCTCTTCTTCTGTTTACGTTTGGTCTACCTGGAATTCTTCTCTTCAATG